TCGAACCACTGACCTCTGCGATACTAGTGCAGCGCTCTACCAATTGAGCTAACAAGCCAACTGGGAGCAGGCCGTTAAGTTGATTCATAATAAACCTGTGAAAGTGAAGGCTTGTTAGCTCAATTGGTAGAGCGCTGCACTAGTATCGCAGAGGTCAGTGGTTTGAGTCCCGCACAGGCCTGATTTTTTTCAGGTCTGACTTTCACTATTGCATAAATAGCGCTATCTACTGCGAGGATCGTGCATCATACATACATAATTTTTATTAGCAAATTCACAAATGGAAGACTTAAGTTAACATAAATAAATGTCTCTGTGATAGTTCTAATAAAAGATAATAATAATTTCCTTAAACTTAAACGTAATGTTACGAGGCCGCGTGTGCAACTAAATTAAAGGTTGCGCACTGATGTTATGAAGCCCTGCGTGCAAATAAATTAAAGGTTGCGTGCTACTCTATTGCATCAGTTACATCCCGCATCAAGTTGATTTTTCATTCAGTTATTAAGCTCATGAGACTTAATGCTAACTACTGCTAAGTTGACTGTGTAATTGTTGGTTCTTTATGCAGTAAATGGTTTGAATTCCACAAACTGGAATAAGAACATTCTACTGACAACAATCATTCACTTGACTCTGATGATGACTTCCGCACAGGTTGTCGAAACGTCAGTCTCTACCACCGACAACAGTCCTTCTCAGGACTACACTCACCCAGACGATCACACCTTCACATGTTGGTTCTTTGTTTTGCAGGCGGTCAGTTATCAAAAGAAAGCTGTGATAGTTTGTGAAAGAGTTTTTGGTGTGGATCATCCAGACACAATCATTGCTTATGTAAGAGAAAATTCAGTTAAATGTGAATATTCCATCCCCCTTATTGGTAGTGGTACTTGTTACCAAATTTATTTTTCACCTATGACAAGAGAAAGTTTATTCCTGCTATGCGATAAAGCAGTTTAAAAATTCATATTTTATGACTTGAGGGTATTCTACTTCTCATTTTCAAATCGAATTTGCATTTATTTTATATACAAGACAGGTTCACTTGGCACTATATTGTCATAATGCAGGGCTGGCTTCAGTGGCATTGAAGCTGATGTATCGTGCAAGACACCTGGCACTGTTGGTGTATGGAGAAGGACATCCTGATATGGCAACCTTTGATGTAAACATTCACCCAACTTCAATATTTAAACATAACAGTTTTGCCTTCCAGGATAAATCGAGCTTCCTATTCCATGCAACACTTAGTTTTTCAAGATGCCCATGTGCCATCTTTAACATTATTGTCAGTCTTTACCAATGTTTGTTGATTCTTCCCATGTTGGTCTTTTCTACCTTAACAAACTAATATTTTGTAGTTTTTGTGATATCAAAGGCTAACATGCTTGTTGCCTCAATTAAGTGCCCCACATTTCTGCACAGTCCTTTATCAAAAGTGGAGCCACCTACACTCTTGCTTAGCCCATAATTCAGTTATATATTCAGTATTTTACCTCGAACACTGTAGGTAATTTGAGCATCCATCCCCCTTAACAAAGCTGGTTACTCCATGGGTGACCTACTGGCGGCACTCATTTTTCTCTGGTGTTTTCTTTTCACCAGAGCAACATTGGGCTCATCCTACATGGACAGCGGGAGTTCAAGATATCTGAAAAATTTCTTGAGAAAGCTCTGGATGTACAACTGAAGTAAGCTTTACACTTGCTAATCAACTTATCAGCCCCTTAATTTCTGATAAAAGTTCTGGAACTTTTAACAGGATTTTATTGCAATGTAGTTACTCTCATGTTTCATTTGTCTGATATGGCTAGAATGTTGATTATGTTATTTGGGAGAATTTGATTGTTCCTCTCCTGCTGGCCAGCCCTTACCATTACTTATACTGCACCACAAGCTTTTCAGTACCCCTGAGCAAGTTTAAGGCCTTGAGCAAAGCAAGTGTTGGAAAGGTCTACAAGGGATCTCACACTATTAGTATAGTCACTGTCTTAGCAATTAAAGGGATTAATTAGTATTTTTTTGTTGACTGTATAGATACCATGGCCCAGAAAGTGTTCATACAGCCATGAGGTGGGTACTGTGATATGAATATTAATCACACTTCCACTTTTTTATTGGCTGACAAACAACAATCATTTAAAATGAATTACATTCAATTTAAAAGGACCAATTGCACTCAAAGACCAAGTCAGATGTGTTCTATAATAAGCCTTTCATTCTCTCGATGGTACAGTGTAGTACAANTTTGCAAATTAAAGATTTCCATCTTGCAAATTGCAGATTTCAATTTATTTTGCAAATTACAGATTTCAATTTATTTTGCAAATCATTAACAGATTTTTATTTCATAAATTACAGATTTCTATTTTGCAAATTATTAATAGATTTCTACTCCACAAAATAACAGATTTTCATTTTGTTTTGTTTTATGTTTCCTTAGTTTGCAAACTACAAGTGAGCCATATTTAAAACTAAGGAAGGATGGCTCACATACTCATTTACTTTTTCACCTGAATCAACTAGAATGCAAGTGCATTATAGTATTAATTGTTTATATGTTTTATACTTTCATAGTTTGGTGAAGCAGACAGTCGCACAAAGGAGAGCCTAGAGTATCTCAAGCACTGCACACAGCAGGCTGTTCTTATACAGAAAAAGGTAACTTGCAAGCATCACTAAGTTAACTTTTCTCGGGCCAATAAACATTATGCAAATACTTTATGTGGCAGATTTCTGTGACAAATAGTTATGTTTGTGTTACTTCCAAAACAAGAGCTATTTCATTTGTATATATGCTCAACTTGTTGTTGGGAAAATTTATTTCTCTATGAGGATACATGCTAGCTGATGAGAATACATGCTAGCTGATGAGAAATGTTACAATAGCTTTTTGCCCAGGGTATCCTAACCCGCAGACTTCAAAATTAATTGATTTTTTTTCAGAATTGAAATTATTTTAGTTCTTGTAACAAATTGCCTGTTTGAATATCTTCATTTGTTCTTTAAAAGTTAAATGAAATATCAGGAAGAGGAACAGCTAGAGAGGGAGATAACAAAAGATCTTCTGCAGTGAGTAGTCATTTTTAAGCCCCAACAATTTTTCATGTGATGTTTTGTAGTTTTGTGATTAATCTACCTGTTTTGCTGTCAGCAAATAGTATAAAGTTATGGGCATGTTATTTTTTATTATTGTTGTTGTGGTAGTGGTGGTTGTGGTGGTTGTTGTTTTATTTTATCATTTTAGGATTTTCTTTCATTTTCCCACTCAGTAACAGTGTAAAAATAATTTCTTGGGCTTTGCAGGTCCCTGTGTTGCCACCTGATGATGAAAACATCTCACAGCTGATGGGAATAATATCTGGTCTTCAAGGGGTTCATTCCTCTGGGACTTCTCCCATAAAGTATGTGTCCATTAAAAGTGGCTGAACCAAATTATCATTGATTATCATTGCACAGTATTGGTTATCAGTTTGTAAGTGATTTTCTTTAGTAAGTGCCCAGCCATTTAAATCCCTTAATGTGATAATTGTGTCTATTTTTAGAATTTAAAAGACAAAGCCCTCCAGCTGATAGTTTTATTACTCTTTGTTCTGGATAATAATTAAAATGAGATAGAAAAGAGAAGTTACATGTTAATCGGTTGTGGGTTTGAGGTGTTCAAACATTAAGGATTGAAAGGAAATATAATGACAATGTCTAGTTATGCCTCCAATTAAGACCTTGATTTACTTCCTCTAAATTTTAGGACATTTCTTCTTTATCTCTTTTTAATTTTTTTTTTTATTTTTAATCCAGGGATACATCTGCACAGGTGAAAAAATTAGCCCAGAATGACACAGCTCCAAATCTGCTTGATAACAACCAAGCTGCAGCTTTAGAGATGGATTAAAAGGCACACTTATTTGTGTCCAAATTTCAACTTCATGCAAGCTGAAGTTGTACCCATGTTTGCACTGATGTGCAACTGCCCCTTAAAGGCTTCCTGCTTTGCTACTGAATAATGCAGGAAATGTGTCATAAATTGCATTTGTTAGTGGGAAATTAAAATTTGTCATTTCACTGTTGATTGACAAAGGTTTTTGAAGGCTGTCTCATTGCGTTAACTAAACAAATTCAGACAGACTTTGTTTGAACATTGAAAGTTGACAATTTTTTGCGAAATGAAATGGTGCACGTAGTACAGTGTTTGCTATAATTGTCATTTCTTTTCTAACTGGACAAATTCGTCAATTACAGAATGAAGGGACTAAATAGTCCATTAATCAATTTTTATTTTTTGGGGAAATGGTTCTCAAAATATTTGGTGACAGAGAATTGACACAAAAATAGTTTTGAACCTGTAAGATGGGGAATTTTCCAATGGGTGAATGATGTGATTTGTAATTTTTTGTTTTATGTTTTTAATCAATGTTATCAGAACATGATTTGTAACCTCTTGAAAATTGTAGATGGCACTTTCTAGTGTTTTTAAGTATGTGATTCATTTCTTGTAATTTCTTACCCTTCATTTTCCAATGACTCCACTTTTATGTTCCAAAAATTAATTATACACAGCCAATATTTGGCTGAACAATTCAGCTCCCAGGTCTTATCAATGTATAACTTCTTGTTACAATGTCATTACACCACCCATAGGGCAAGTGATGAGAAGAGGAGAAATCATCAGCATTACTTGGTTCTTGGTAGTTACAGTTCTGACAATTTCTCCATTAATTGTTGGTTGACTTCTTTTGCTGTGTATAAATGCTGGCTGGGCCACGTTTTTTGCCTGTTTTAAATGTTTTGTCTGCTTACATGCTTTGAGAACACAGTTGTAAAACTTTCCAACTATTTGGTGTTTTAAGGTTACTGTACACCTTCAGGGGTGTCTCATGTAGCATGTCTGGTTTAAACTGTAGATATCTAAACCCCTATATTAAATTAAAGCTTCCAAGACTGGCTGTCAGACTATACCAAAAATTTTGAAAAAAAAATTGTCAAATTTTTCACAACTTCTAAATGCAAGCACCCAAATCACCTTTTAAGAGCCACAAGTCAAAGGGAATCTGTTTGATTGCTCTCAAAATTTGACAAGTAGCTATTTTACATATAAACAACAAACACGTGTCTCCAAATTTCTTATTTCGTAATACCTTTTTTTCAAGAGCGATTTTTGTACGATCACTCTACATTTTTAATCCTATTTAAAAAATGTTGTAACTTTTCACTGAAATTGAATATGGCAAATCGCAGACAAATTTTTTCAGTGCTTTAGCCCCGGAAACAGAGGAACACATTAAATAAGCAAAAAACAAAATTCACTTTAACATGTTACGTTCAAAAGGTGATTCAGGTGCTCGCATTTAGAAGTCATGAAAAATCGTCAATTCATGTTTTTTTTCAAAATTTTTGGCCTATTCTGATAGCCAGTCCTAGAGCTTTAATTTGACATAGGGGTTTAGATATCTACAGTTTAAACCGGATGTGCTACATTGCTTGAATGCGAGACACCCTTGAAGGTACACAGTAACCTCGACATGATCCTTTGTCATCATTGATTAGCAGTGTTAATAAAGCCTCTTTTAAATTAAAGGTAAACAAGTGCTTATAATTATTTGCAATGATAATAAAATATTTATTGAATTTTAAGATCTTTTTGGGTGACTTCTTAATTGAATGTGGTTGTTAATATGGTTAAAAAAGAGACAGGTTTTAATGGTTTGTCATTACAAGCATATTTTTTAACGTGTAGAATTGATACACTGATCAATTTTGTGCCAATTAAAAGCTCATCCCACAACCAGACTTGATAATCAATTAGTGTGCTTGACATGGAATAAAGGAATAATTCTGTTTAAGTTGCCTCTTGACTCTCAAAATTGTGCTGGTTGTCTCAGTTATGTACACTTTGGTTGGTGGTGATGTGGAGTATTTTGATTTGTGTTAAGAAATTATGTTCTGCCCAGATATTGCAATTTCGACACCTGTCTTCAAAGAATTTAGTTTAAATTCCAATCCCAGACAGAAGTAGCAAACATTTAAAGCCTGGATATGAATTAGGCTTGATAACTAGAAAGGAAAGATAGAATAAAAGAAACAATGCACTGCAATTTTAAAGGACACCTTTTATTCTTTTTTTTTTTTTTTGCATTAACATAACTGTAAAGTAGTCAGCATAACTGATCAATAATCACACCTAATATTAACATTTTTAGATGGTACTGTTTAATACTTTGTCTACATGAACCAATTTAAGGAATGCCTTCTGTAAATTACCTTGCACTATTTATTGTTATTACCAAAGCTATACCAACATTTACCCATTTTCTCAGTATTTACACAGATAAACAATTTCAGCATGAATACTCGTGTGTGTTTTGCACTCAATTTCAAATGTTCCACCCATTCCTTCTATGTATTGATGTACAGGTACTGTTTCATGAGAGGTTAAAACTTCCCTATGAATCCCTGCCTTTGGTGCATTGACTTGTGTGAATAAAAAGCTGAGTAAACAAACCATTTAACATTTTGATAAACCTCGCTGGTTTCTTTAAGAGTTTCAAAAATATTGCACCCCAACCTAAAGTACTGTTCCATTACCCCTTGTGTTACACAATACAAAATTCAGTACTTCTAAAGAAGTAACAATCTCATCCATCATCTATTTACACCTCTCACGGAACATTAAAACTACAAAATGATTCATTCAAACTGAGAATAATATTATATAGTCCCCATGTCTAAAGAAATGCACCTTGGACTTGTTTTGTGGAGGAGAACACTTATTTACAAATATCCATACAACTGTTTAGCATTTAACCTGCAACAAATGTACAGGTAAGAAAAGATTGTGGATTGGATCCCTACATGAATCTTAACCCTACTTAGCAGACACAGAACTTCAGTTTTCAATAATTCATAATAAAGATGTTCTGACTATTATCTTGCTTGCAACATGCTTATTTAATAATCTAATTACTAACACCAATGTCACTTGAGAACATCAGGTCAATCTTTGTTGTCAGAGGTCAGTGGGTGTGGTCCATCTAATGCACAGGAGGTGCTGGGGGTTGAGGTCCAGGACCTCTCTGAAAATAATGAAGATGATGAAGAAAACGTTAATATGATTTTTAAAAAAAAAGAGAGAGAAAGAAAGAAAAAGCCTAGTGTGACATAAAAACCAAAACTCCATCCAGTTCCAATCTATTAAAATATAGATTTAGTTGCCATAAAAACCACACTACCAGTTAAAGTGCATCCTTTAATGAGTGGGGTAGAAAACCCACCCCTCAACATACATATTCTATGCCAAACAATGGGGTGTAAAGGGGTGCTTGAGAAATATGGGGCTGAGGTAACTACATGTCACGTATGGATTGCTAATGCCTCCCAACCTTGATACCCTGACCCCAACAAATTTGAGCTTGAACACCTTGTCAAGACACACATCAATGTGCTTTGTCCATAAGAAAATTATTGAAAAGATGTAGAAACAATTGCCCTCTTTGGCAGAAGTTTGACTGGGACATTGTGTTTTAAAATGGGAACAGTTTCCTGAGAGGGAAGCTTGAGGAAAAACATGAGCTTGAAGGAACAAATATTGTCCTGCTTAATGAAGGCTGTGGCATTTGTTATTCTTCATATTTCTTTTCAATGTGCCAGAAAAATTTTTATGAACAGCTAACAGTTTGCTAAATAGGAAATTTACTCTTCAGTGTTCTATGGTATAACTTTATAAACAGACAGACATGTCCCCTCTGTAACAATAGCTAAACTCTCTTCTATCTTAAATTTAATTTCAAATGCCTACATCAAAGTAGTCGTAAGGTTTGAAAATTGGGGAATATCTCCTGGGATATAACCTAGGATATTGATTAATGGATTATAAATTATTCTAAAATATTTTACTTACATCACTTCGACTTGGTTTCTCTGGACCTTGCCTCATACTCTGAGGTCTAAAAACAAGAAATCATGCACTTTAGCAATAATGGAACTATTAAATTATATTGATACAAGTTTATCCTGTTTGCTTACAAATGGGACATTTGTAGTCAACAACCATTCTTGAGTTATAATAAATACAATTTGTTTCTTCTCACATACTGACAAAATGTAGATGGATGGATTGAATAGTTTATATTACTCTTACCATAAATTAAGAGAAAAATATTGAAGCTATTACCTGAGTAAATACAAGACAAATGCAATGATCAACCAGGCTATCATAATATAGAATGCAGTGTGACTATCACCTCCAGTATCATTTCCTTGTGGGCCTGGCACTGCATGGCATACAGGAAAACCAAATTTAGAGCAGACATAAGTATTGTGGATCACAAACTAATGATAAATTATAATTAATCCAAAAAACAAATAAATAAAACTACTAAATGAGAGAAAAACAACTCAAAAGCCAATCAAATTAGTTACAATTTTAAGTTTGGACCACTTGTTTGGTTCCATGGAAACAACACTTCGTGTTTCTCATCAGGTTTATTACTAAGCAATTTGAGATATCTTCCGACTCAAAAATACTTTATGAGACCTTCCGCCCCAACATTGAAAAATGATAAGTGTATTTAGAGACTAAGAGTTAAAATTTCCAACAAGAAAACATTACCACTTTGAACGTCTTCAGTAACAATGTTTTGGTTGTCAGTTGACAGATTCTTCTAAAATTAAAAATTTTTTGGATATGCACCTTGTCTTCCAATAATTTAAGAGATTTTGTTTCTCCATAAATAATTAATTTGACTTGAAAAACACTAACGGATACAAATTGTTATCAGAAGAATTCAAAACAAGCCGAAGCTCAAGGACGAAAAGTGTAGACCATAGTTATTTACTTGCGTCCTAGGGTTTGGGGAAATTATGAATTTACCACAATTCTAGGTTTGAAAGTTTGTACTTTCACCGAATTATCGTGACGAACACTGGTCCTTCGTTTGCTTGCTTAAACATCGTTATTCCATGTATGTCAACTTTTATTAATCGTAGATAAGGTATAGAGCGAACAAGCCTTTTCTGATATCATTCACCCTAGTTGATATTCTTCAATACATTATTTATTCCTAAATCATCCCAACAAGAAAGAAAACGATAACTTACATTCTTGCAAGCACTGATTATCTGTACAATAACTCTGTGAGGATCTCAGCTGCAAGGAGAAGTTTGACATTTAAGCACAGCACAATATTTGACATGCCTTGCACGGACAAAATTTAACCCACAAAAAAAAAAACATTTTACAATGTTATGCTACGATAAAGGTAATTCGCACTTACCAAGGAAATGAGTCTTCGCATTGCACCTTCGTGGCTGCATATACACTCACATGGATCGAACGAATCGCCTCCGCCTCCGTCCATCTTGAAAGAGGGTAGTACGTACTGATCTCTTGTTCTAGAACACTGTCTTTTTTCGAAGCAAAGCGTTACTTCACCACACAACGACCTTGCTAATCAAAACAACAAAGACAATGACAAAATACCAGCGTTTTTCTCGACACTGTTAGCCGGATCGCCACGACTGTATTAGGTAATAAAGTTTAAACGATCGAGTGCAAAAAGTATGCACCACGGTCGCGCCACGTACTGTTTTGGTAACAATCCCGGATGACGTCAATTATGCATTCATGAAAAGTCTCCCGACATCTGCAATCATGATGGCGAAGTTTATCCTCTCCCAACATTTTAATTCAACGGCTATTGCAAGTTGATTCAGAGCTTTTTAACCCAGTCGCAAAAGTTTTTATCACACAATATGTTGGTCGGAATTTTTAAACCTTAGCTATGAGTGTTAAAACAGAGCGCAATCATTCTTCCTCGTCAATTTAACCTTCAAAGTTGTTGACTTCTTCAATGGCAACATTGTCACCCAGACACCTGCCTAAATAATGCATGATCACAGCTGAGAAAGCACCACACCGATCACAATATTACGTGGGTAGGTAGATGTAAGGTAGATATTGTGAGGTTCATCTTTTCTTTTACTGAGGTGATGAAAATTCCAATTTTCTAAATTTCGCTGCAAAAATTTGAACCGTGGGAACAAAGCCAGCAAACACCATCAATACACCTCTTTTCTCGATGAAAAAAAGATGAAAGAAAATGACAATGATAAAAATCACTCTATATTACAAAATAAACTATGATTAATCAGTTTCACATACTTATAAACCTCAGCCAATCAGAGAGAGTTTTCTCTGTAAGAATCGTCATCAATACGCGCGCGACATCATAAAAACCCGCGGGACTGGCTTTGAAAGATATGCTGAAGAAAGGGGAATTAAAACAATTAAAGGATCTAAATCCCTTCCTTTTTATGCCACTGACTAATAAGGGAAATGGAAATTATGCTGCAACAATTCTCTTTAAAAAGACTTAAAATGCAAGGGTAAGGAAATCATGTGCAATGAAAAAATAATAGCGAATCGAATAGGGATGCAAAAATACTTTCGGAATGGAACTAAGTCGATTTAAACATTCGTGAAAACTCAACATATTCTAGAAAGAATTCAATATATTCCTGATAAACTGAAATGTTTCCGTTTTACTTTCTGAGGATTCTCCTGATCATACAAATTTCACGTGACCGGCTGCAATTTGAGACTGATTTTATATTTATTTCCTTCACAGGGCATCAGGGATTAACGCTCCCATGATGAAACTTCTAATAATTGTTTTCTTCACGGTATTCATTATTCCAGGCGTAACTGCCGCTGAGAAATCCAAATTGTTCATCTCAGCAGCCATAGGCGAGGACACCAAGTTTTGTGGAAACGGAAGTGTTCCCTGTCGAACTTTGAATCATGCCTACGAACTGTTGTCTCCTTCCGGATTAAACTCGACAATTTTGGTGTTGGAAAAAGGAACGTACAGTCTCCACAAGAGCCTGGTTTTTGTGAAGGTGAAAGATTTGAGCTTGATTGGGGGACACGGTGATTCAACAGAGTCAAATACTCGAGCTAAAATCATTTGCGAACCTAACGTGAGTGTGGCTTTCTTCTTAAGTGATAACATAACTCTTCAAGATTTGAAAATAGTCAGTTGCGGAGGATGGCAAGAAAGCGCTATTTCGAAGCAAAACGCTGAAGTTATCAAGTTCAAGACCGCCATTCACTTTGATTACTGTAGAAACATTTGGATGCGAAACGTGGACATAATTGGTTCCATAGGTCATGGGGCTAATTTCTTCGAAATCGGTGGGGTGCTGAACGTAACTAATTGTGTGTTTGAGAACAACACGGTAAGCGCAGATGCCCTAAGAAACAAATCGACGAGTAATAAAAAGACCCTAGAGCAAGTTGGTTACATTATTTCTGTGGGTGGAGTTTTTGTTACATTGAACAATTACATTCGAAACCGGCCATATTTCAAGAATGTCACGCAAGCTCGTCACGAATCCTACATACAAGGAAATAGTTACATATTCACAAAATGTAGCTTTATTGGAAACGGAATATCTGGAGAAGTGGCCCCCACAGACAGTTTTCAAGGACACGCGTTGGATCAGCTAAGCGTTGTCAAAGGAGGTGGTCTGGGAATATTTTTCGTCGGAAAAGCCGAAAACAATATGGTTCTCATCCAGAATTGTAGGTTCTTGGCTAACCAGGCATACTGGGGTGGAGGACTGCAGGTTGAGTTTTCTGAGAACACTAGCAGAAACAACTTCACCGTTCGGAGTAGTGTTTTTCAAAGAAACATTGGACATTCTGCTGGTGGTGGGGCTCGTGTTGGCCACTGGCGGAAAAAAGGTGTCTTTAATCCAAACAATGAAATTCGATTCGTAGATTCTGTCTTCCGGGACAATCGTGGAAATTGGGGAGGAGGCATTTCTGTGTATGGTACCTCAATCTTCTGCAATTGCAAACAAAATTTCAAAAGTAAGAAAACTTTTAGTTTTCATTCATGTCGCTGGTTTGCTAACAAGGCAAATGTGGGCTCGGCCATCGGTACTTTTCTGTTCAATCAAAACAGAGAAAACATTGGTCCCGAAGTGCCTTTCCATGTCGAGTTTATAGACAGTCAGGTGGAGGACAACGCAATTGAAATTCTTGAGGAAAATGTTCAGATCGGGGAGGGAGCGATTTATAACGTCGGTGTATCGATTGTCTTCCGAGGAAAGACGATCATTAAAAACAATACCTATACTGCCCTTGCCTTAGATGGAGGGACATTAGAGCTTTACGACGACGTGGAATTTGTTGGAAATAAAGGAGTCCAGGGAGGGGCGATCGCGATGTACGGATATTCACAATTAATACTGATGAAAAAATCTCGGCTTCTGTTTAAGGAGAATTCCTGTTTGAAAAAAGGAGGAGCTATGTTTATACAGACTCCTGGATCCCCACGAATAAACTACGGCTTAAGTAAAAAGAATCCGAATATTTGCTTCTTTGCATACGAGGACGATAGTAGAAGCTTTAACCAGTGGGACACAGAAGTTATTTTTCAAGAGAATAAGGCTCCGGATGATTCCTTAGGACATTCCGTTTTCGCCACTACTCTTAAGAAATGCCGTATGCAGGGAGAAACTCGTTTAAACAACTCAGTATTAGACTGGAAGTTTATAAGATTTAATCGAACAACAACAGACAATGTAAGTAATGATTTCAGAAGAAATACCAAAGAAATTGCCACAAGCCCCGTCGATATCATTTACAATGTACAAGACTGGCATGTTTCCCCTGGTGAGGTTTTTAGCCCCACTGTTCACCTTCGAGACGAGAAAAATAATTCTGTCAAAGGTATTGTAGAAATCCTGATCAGTAACAGCTCTAGCTATCAGGAAGATGATCCATCTTCAGTTTTCTTACAAACAGATTCGTCGCTTTTCCTTACTCATGGAAAGATCTCTTTCCTGAAAATTGGAGGACACATTAGAAGGAAATTCATTGTTATTCTTCAACACATTGGACGACAAATACTCAGGAAAGTCATACGTGTGGCTTCTCTCAAACCTTGCAATCCCGGCTTCTATCTCAAAGACGGAAACTGCGTTTGTCAAGATAAATTAGATGGTATTTCGAGATGCGACAAAAACGGAAAGACCATTTATCTCAAAGCCGGTTACTGGGGTGGGATGGTGGACGAAACGTTTTATATACACCGTTGTCCACGAGGGTTCTGCGCATGTCCAAGGAACAATATGACTTTAATTGCTCAAGACGAGTGTGTCTTTAATGTCGAGCAAATGTGCAATGGAAACAGAGAACCAGGCAGTACTTTGTGTGGGAAATGTAAAGAAGGATTCAGTGTGGTGTTCGGGCACTCAGACTGCCACAAATGTGGAAAATATGGCTTTTTGGTCGTTATTCCAGTCTACTTGGTGCAAATTTTAGTTTTCGTAAAGGTGGCAATGCTGTTGGACGTGGATTGGTTTTCCGGTTTTCTTAATGGGTTCTTCTATTCCTACCAAGTAATGTTGCAAGTTGTTGGAGAGCGGTTCTTCTTCGACCCATTCATGTTGTTCGTGATCAATTTTTTCAACTTTCGCCCTCGGATAGGTAGTCACCTCTGCTTCTCATCTGATATGGATTATGCAGACAAGCTGTTTTTTAATCTAGCCATTTCTGTCATCACCCTGCTCGTAGTTGTCTTTCTCGCCAAATTGGTGGGGAAATATCCAAATTGGTGTTTCAGTCGGAGAGTGAAAGGTCCTTTCCGTGCAATATGTACTATCCTTGTTCTTTGTTACACTGGCATCACATCATCATGCTTAGGCCTTCTGGACCCTGTGGTATTTGGCAACACGACAGTTTTGTTTATTAGTGGCAGCACGGAATTCTTCAAAGGCAAACATGCTTTCTACGGAAGCATTGCCATTTTTTTCATGTTCTTTTTCGTAATCCTATTTCCACTTGTGCTGATGTACCGGCCATTCTGCACACGCCTCCTTAGGCCAGTGTTCAACTTGAACCGCTTTAAACCATTCTTTGACGTCCTTCAGAGCTGTTACAAAGACCAGCATCGATCCTTTGCTGCTTTTTATCTCGTTTGTCGCCTGGTCGTGTTGGTGATTGCTATCTATATTCCAATTGGTCCTGTAAGGAGGTTCCTTATAGAGGTCACCTGTATTACGGTCCTATCCATCTTTACCTACGTGAGACCCTATAAGCGATCTAGGCAAGAAGGTGAGGCCGACCCAAAGTATGCTTGGGAAAACAAGTCAGATACCATCCTTCTCTTCAATCTTTCCTTAATGGCAGTTATTGCCACCGCTACTGAAAACAGTGATATCTCTAAGAGGCACAAAGCTCAGTTGACAACTGTTATTAAAGTCTTGGCTTATGTCCCTATGGTTGCTTTGGCATGTTACATTTATAAAAAGACCAAATCACGTTGTGCAAGCGGATGTTGCTCTGACAACCGCGATCTGGAGGGACTACAAGTTACTGACCTTGGCATTGAATGAAGAACCGACTTAACTCCTAAAACTGAGTACTGACTTTAAGCAGTCAACAATTAGTTTATTAAAGTTGCGTTATAGCTGTCCGAGTAACAGAAATGGCAGACATAATTGTGGTGTACTAATCAAACGGAGCATTCAGTAATGAAATTTTTTACCTAGCGTCGAGAACAATTCAGTATTGCTCTGGTTTCTTTATTCTACTCCTTGATAAGAAAACTGATCAATGTAATGCAAAACTTTCACTAATCGCAAATTAGTCACACGCTTAAGGTGCGAATTTTTTGTTGAGTTTTTATTGGCTGATTGTGCCATTTACATTTGTTCTGATTGGCTATGGTGATTACTTTCGTATATTACGGCGATATTCAATCGAAATGCGTCTATTAAACTATCCATTAGTAACTATCACTATTGACACGCCAAGTAACGTCAAACGGGTAGTTGCCGGCTTAAGATAACCGTTTCGACTTTTAAGTTCTGATAAGCCTTGAATAACGTTCTACCTGAGGCTGCTGTGCAATGTTTACTGTATTGAGCGAAGCTGTAGAAACAATCTTGTGTATTTAGATTAAACCAGTATCAAAGACAATTTTAAAAAAAATATGACACACGTTTAAATGGTTCCATATATTAGGTTGTTTCTTTATCCGCGACAAAGGCAATCAAATGTTTGACGCTGTCTATTGACTTTTCCAAAACGAATAGCATTCTGGGAGATATTTTCATTACTACTGTGGTTTGTATACGTTTGCTGCTTTTGATTGAAGCATAAAATTAGTTTAAACACAGGAAATGTAGTTTACCAACTGCTTCGGGTTATAGATATATAGGACGATCTCCAGTTGTAATAAAGCAATTTAAAAGGGGCTAAGTTTTTTACAGATGAAATAACTAATAGCTAAGTTTTTTATCTTTTAGAGAGTAAAACGAACATTTTTTTTTTTTATATAGATCGTCTTGTCCATTATTTATTTGACGTTAAGTATTGAGGGTTAAAAACGTGCACGTTAACGACGTGAAAAGAGTTCAAATAACTACAGAATCCTGTCACGAAAAAGGTTAGCTCCTAGCTTTTCTAAATTCGCAAATGAGAGATAAAGGAAAAATTCTTCCTTGGTCTTGGAATTGTATTCATTTCAGGTTGTTCGATTATTCCTTTCAAGTTATTAATCGAAGATGATGGCTTTTCCGTTGAATTCGCCCCAGGCTTTTCGCTTTTCCAAGGCTTTTACTTCCTTTGAATTGACGTCTAAACAATGTTGAGTAGACATCTGGATCATCTCCGCGAGGACCTGGCTCAAATACATTCTTGCGTAACAGCTTTGGAATATTTCCCGCTGGCTTATATAAAGCCACTACGTACATGGGCCCTGAGGGTGCTACGGAACTTCTGGCGCAGCCAATTCCGAGTTCTTGTGTGCCTTTCCACACAACCTGTGGATTCAGATTAACAACATTCTTGAACAAGATTCAAAACTTAAAATACTTACGAATACTTATGCAATTTTCAATCGAGGGTCCAGCTTCATTCAGAACTGCATTGTCGGTTTTACTTTACTTCGCTCTTTGATTGATCTGGAACTGAACTCTCCGAACTCTTAATCATTTCCATTGAAAACTCAAACCAGTGATGACTTGATGACTCGCATTTTGTCTCCATTCAGAAAGTTCGGTTGGTTTTCACCCAATCACTCCGGCTTCTTGTGAAATTGAACTTTGCGGTCTGTTTAGTTTTGTTTCGACAACACTCAACCAAAATACGGTCTTCTACAAATTATTAAGCCATCAAACATTCTGAGAACGTCGTAAAGAACTAATTGTGTGACCTGTGTGAAAGTGTCAGTGTCTGCGTTGAGTCTTGGATCAGAGTAACTGTAATTTTTGGCCTGGCTGTACCACAGGTTTGTTGCGATTTCTCCCGCATCCTCACATGCCATGGAACCTTTATTGTAGGAGAGAGAAGTGAAATGAAGCAAAACAAAAATTTTCCTGAGCCATTCATGACACGCTTTTGAAGGAACTATTTTGGCAGCAGAACGATATAGGTGTTTTAATACTTTTTCGCTAATTGATATTTTTCTTTGCGATTTAGAGGCCTTATCCCCATTGGTAATTTTCGAAAACTACCTCACCACGCGCAATGTTACGTTTTGCTGTTCGTGAAAGTGTAAAGGCACCTTAAATTAAATGTGTTATACTAACAAAAAAATCAAACACAACGAATATATGAGATTCATATATCTGGGCTGCGGTTATAGAGGCGTATTTGTGCACGATCCTCGCAGTAAAGAGCACTATTTAAGCAAAAGTGAAAATCAGACGTACGGACTAATTTGATGACCTGCTCCCAGTTGGCTTGTTAGCTCAATTGGTAGAGCGCTGCACTAGTATCGCAGCAGTCACTGAATCCCGTACAGGCCTGAATTTTTTCAGGTCTGATTTTCACTATTGCTTAAATAGTGCTCTTTACTGCGAGGATCGTGCACAAATACGTAACAAAAAAATGTTAGATGAGCACGCCCTGATGCACTTGCGCATAAAATACTTTAAAATCCAAGATGGCAAACGAATAAAAATCGCCTCAGAAATGTTAAATTGCAATGTGTATGCCTAGCAATGACAACGCAGCCCTAGCCTGCCTATCAAAGATTACCATGGCGTTCCTTGGAGTAGCTTATGAATTGTCTGTGATATACCTGCCAGTTTTGCCAAGTTTTGACCTAAGTCCATGGCTGAATCTTTCCTTTCAGAGAGTGAGCTTTGTGTCGCTAAACTTTGTGCAAGAGCTTGTGCCTCTGCTGCCAGGCCATCTGACCAGTTCAGAGCAGGAGAATGGTGCACCACGCGGTATTTGTTGTGAGCCTGCAATGCTCGGTGCGGTAATACATTTACTACAGTTTCTAAGGAACAAATAAGTCGAAATAAGTGAAGACTTGAAATGACCGAAAGCGTTATGTACGCATCTTCAATGCGGGATGAGTAGTTCTTCTAGTATGCAATTCACCCGAGAGAAATGGACAGCTTCCCGCGTCAAACTTCTTCGTCACTTAAGATTGAAATTATTTAAATTTGAAGCGTACCTTGTGTTTTGTTACCAAATCCAACAACTAAGAAAAGAAAAAGGGAAAAATTCAAATTGAGTCTTGCATCAGTTTCACTGGTTATTTATATTAAACTTGTTCATTGCATACGGAAAGCTGAGGATATGGAACAAAACAGGGACGAACAGATCTTATCTTGTAAGAAATATATGAGTTATCATGATCTACCTTAAATAGGTGAGCTTTTCAATTTAGTTGTACTGTACTTTTTACTGCAGCTACGTTACTCACAACAAAATATCACAAGAAGCACCACAGCACTCAGCCAGCTTTCCCTGAGCATATCTTCTTTGTGTATTTGTGAAAAGAACAACCTGTTGTAAGACATTGAACAAAGTCACGTTCGTTATAAAATGCTACAAACGATAAAGGCATCTTTTCAAATGATATGACCCTAGTGAGATGATGTTGCTCCCTGATCGATAAGTTTCTACAAATGGCTGGTAAAGCCTCCGGCAGCTAATATCCGAAGTTTTGGGGATTGTAGCTAATGCTTCACACCTTTCTTACTCTTCTCTCATAGTTTTCGCTCTTTTTTCTTCCTATCTTTCCCGTTCGTGGTGGTATTTGTTCGCCTCAGAGGAAAATTATATTCAAACTCTCGTAAGCTCTCTTTATACATTGATCTTACAGTGTTTATTTAGCATGTCACAGTGTCATTGCTGCCGTTTCAGCTGATTAAGTTTAGTTTTATATTTGAATGAAATACAGACATTTAAAGACGTAAGGTAAGGAGTCTTACGCTGAAACCTCCAGTGCAAACGTCTGTTGTCTACGATAAATGAAGCTGCATTGACTTAACCCTAATCTAACCCTAAGCAATAGGATGGGCATTGTTTTCCTGATAATGACTTGTAATTTCCGTCGCCGTTTTGAACAAAGGTGATTCGGTCGGTTGTCTGATAACGAGGTACTGAACTTGTACCTTACAAACCCGTTTAATATGTATGAGGAACCTCGAAGAATTGACTTAAAATATGGGCTTTGTCAAGTCAGTTCTAAGTGCAGTACATAAAGCCACTGATGACCGCTTTGTAACTGAATTTACTCACACCCGAAAGCGAGAGATAAACATTTGCGACCAGTTTAAGAAACGGCTAAGGATTGGGTGAGATGCAAATATGTCCAGCCGGAACCTGTTTTCATTTAGGTTCAGTCAACCAATTAAATTTTCGACGTAAATTTTCGACAGTTAGTTAAAACGGGCGCCAATTCTAAATACAAATGCAATCATTAATATGAAGTTCAGTTGTCTTTACACACAGCGAAAAACATTCCTTTCGAAATGTCTACGACAGTATATGCGAAAAACGCAGAAATATTTGAGTTCGCCGAAATCGTAGGCCATTATTGTAGCAAGAAAAACTGTCGAGATGAGTTTGATTGGCTCGAAGGTAAAAAAAAAAACTGAAACAAAATGTTGTTTTCCTTACCTCTTTATGATTATGAGCCGAAAGAAAGTAGTCTATTGGAAGAATTTATGCCATTTTGGCGGCCCGTGAGGGCTAAATTGTTCGACAAGCAAACCTGAGGCTTAACTAATCACCTATGGAAATGAGATCATCAATTTATTATCAGTGATTCTCTGCACACAGAGCTGAGAAAGAACCAAATCACTGAACCGTGTCTTTTCAGTCTCATGAAACTTCCTTAGCGGGGATCATTTGTATATTGGAAAAATGGTCATTAGGCTTAATACGTGTTAGCTACATTTAATTGGTTATCTTTCGTTAACATTTTTGCGATTTTACACGTATGGCACGCCTTGGGAGAAAAGTTGAATTCTAAAAGGTACATTACACGTATGTGTGATTTACATCTTAGATTTTACAGCACTTTACCACCCACCACAAGCATTTGGATTAGCGCCGCAAACTCATTTGCCACTAGCGGAGCTCCATACCTAAGAAGAAACGGAGCTCCACTTTGTTAGGTCTAGATAAATATAAATCAATAGCTGCGCTGATCTTTTAGCACCTTAACTGACGTCTGTGACACAAGAAAGAATCGAGCAATTAGGAAAAGAGTATTTAGGGAGAAATTCTTTTAAAAGAGCAATGCCCGAATATTTTGACTAAGGGGATCGTCTGTAGGCGGAGAGAAACCTTGGAATCTTACTTTGGTTTGGAAGTCAGACACCAGGGGGGTAAGAAAAATTGAAAGGAACAAGAAGAGTGTGTAAACATGGTAATGTTCAGGTCAATTCTTAACATCCGTTTATCATGCCTTAGCTCTCTCGAGGGAATCTTGTCCCGCTTTTTGTGTGCGTCTTCTAAGGGGCAGTTTATCAGAAATAACATAGTTAATAGAGGGTCCCCTTTATTAACTATGGAAATAGTTATACATCTGAGCATGACATTTGCGGAAAAAGCGCATGGCGAAAATGAAATTTTTTTCGCTCGGTTTTCTCATAAATATTAAATTAGGGATAATATCAAAAAATGTAAAATGGCGAAAGGCATAGGGTAAGAAACTCGATTTCTGCTGTTTGCCGCGGTCGTCATCCTTATCTCTCTTGGTTTTAATATAAGTCTAAACTTAGGCTTATTGTTTATCTAGACAGTTTGGCAAACTAGACCGAGTTGGAGCTGAAGTGAAATAGAAATTTCAAACTTAAATTTGAGTCTTTTCACTAATCTTCCAATCATTATTCTTTTTTTCGACACAAACAAATGATAGCGATCGTTGTGCACTATAACTCTTTTATTTAACAATCAACGTCATCAGTAGAGTTCAGATTTGGATACAATGGTAAAACGTGTTTTCCTCTCATGACAAGTTTTAGCGTGCGAACAGAACATAGGTTATTGCAAATTAGTAATTGAAACGGCCTCTACAAATTGATTTATATACGAAGTTAAAAGACGCTAAGCTAACCGAATAAGTATTCGTTTCATATTGAAAATGTCCTAGACTTGTCTTCATGAGGTATGGAGCTAAATGTACAAATTATTTTTCTACAACACCGAATTCAGCTTGCCAATTATAAAGATTGATAATTTGGCCTCGTCTGGAGAAGACGAGGTTTATATGGTATTTGACTTTCAAGTGCATAAAGATCTCTTTGTTTGCTGACACTCCGTCATCTATTCCTTCTGATTTTACAAGAGACTAAGAAATAATTAGGTAGCGAGCTTATAATCGTCTCTTCGGCTTCGCAACAACGTGTAACTGCGTGGCTATTGTGGTTTGTTCTTGCGCCGGATTTATGTCTTGAGGTATGAGGGACTGAGCTGTACTCCTGGCTTGACCTTGACCTTGACTTTGACCTTGACCTTTTGTTTGACTTTGCTCCTGAACTTGGCCTGATGTAGCAATTTTCCCGCCACCGACCAGACTACTTACTAAAGAAGCAATAGCCTTAGGAGGCAGTGAGGCCGCCGCCTGTGCCACAGATGCAGCAATCTTTGAAGGAGAAGGAGAAGGAGAAGGAGAAGGAGAAGGCTTCACTTGCGGCTGTTGTTGAGTTTGCTGCTGCTGCTGCAGCTGCTGCTGTTGTTGTTGCTGCTTTTGGGAAGGTGTATCTTTAGCGGGAGCAGCAATATCTTCAGCCTTATGGACAACCTCTGGGGGTTTTTGTTCAGATGGACTGACTAGTGGCTTTGAACTACTTTCAGATTTGCTTTCTTCCGTGGCTCCACTGTTAACAGCAGGCTTCGCGTCATTTGCTGTTTGGACATTTCCCTCATTACTAACTTTATGCGTTGCTGGGCGTCCCTCGCTGGGTGGTTTTTCCTGAAACTCTTTCCCATTTTCTTCCTTCATTTCGTCACTGAGTGATTCAGAATCTTCACCTTTCTCTTGCTGGAATTTCGTTCCCTGAAATTCTATTCCTTCATCATTCGCCATGTTCTGAAAGTCAGGATGTCCGTCAGGCTTGTTGTACTGTGGCGGCATATCTGTGTTCTCGCCATTCATGTTGTTCATTTCCACAGACCGGAAGTGACTGTAATCCGAATCGTGGATGGTGTATTCTGGCCAAGAGTTTGCGTCATACAGGTAAGCATTTGGATCATAGCCGGCGTTTGAGTTCTGCAGTTGTCCAGCTGACTGATCCTGAGGAGTATGCGCACTGCTACTACTGATCTTGGCTTTAATGGCAGCATTAGCTCCAGGAGGCATTCCATTGGGTAAAGCCGCCATGTTGGAGATTTTTAATGCTGAGTCATCGTCGATTCCTTGATCTGCTAGTAAAGCTAAATAACAACACAAAATCTATGTCATAACGGCCACTTCTTGTCCATATCATACTAAAAATTAAACTTCACTCAGTTTTTCGAGAGTAAACTGACTACTTAACAAACCACCTAACAGGACCAAGATCGTACAAAATGTTTGCCACATTATTCGATTGAGAAGACAAAGGCATGCGATCTCTAAAGCTTTTAAGAAGATGAATTTTATTGCCCCTGGAGTTGAACATAAATTCATTATCTAGCAAATAGGTGATGGGAATATAGACATTTATCAGCCAGAGGTTCTATCTTGATGTGGTGCAAAATTTTCCTTATTAGCTTTGTAATGGCAAAGAAAAGAGAGAAGGAACATTCCTGAACAAATCTTGGAAGTTTAAGTCAAACTAAGAGGATTTCTGAAAGTGTGACCCCTCATTCAGTTTCGATTGCCACATTCTCGTTCTCACTTAGGAAAAAAAACCAATGTTTGTCGTATATTACCCGTCTCGGCCGCCATTTCATTGTTGATATACTGTTTGTTATAGTTCTGCAGCTGATTGAGTTCTTCTGTCTCACTGGGTTGTAAACTCTCCGGGTTTTGCATTACTGTGAATTGTTCAAAATAAGGCTATGATAGTCTAACTTATGATCTTCTATTTTATTGGTTTTGTTTTACCTCGCCTTAAGGCTAGCCTAGAAAACTCGTGCCACCCTCTCAACCAATTAGACGCAACATTAAAACCCATCACCACTTGTCTTAACTGCGAATCCTCATTGGCTCAAAGTACTGATTGGCAGTTGTGATTGAATTCAGTTTTCCTCTCTAATTGGTTGTTAACCTATTAAAATGAATTCGGTTAACTTATCAGACCGAAAAAAGGACAGAAAATTGTAGACAAAGCTGAGGAAATTTGGTGCATAAATTTCAGTAGAGAGCTCGATATAATTATCTGAGACACGTGACATAGATGTTTGAACAGTGCAGGTAACAGTTTTTTTTACCTGCAACTTGATCATTTGTAGGCTGCACTGCGTTTTTCTTTTCCCCAGTGAGACTCTTCTGATGAGCAGCATGGGCTAACAGAGTTAAACAAAGGAGATTTAATGCGATGTATCAGCCAAACGGTTTGAAAACAAGAGTATGGTCGTCACAATTATAGATACCATGCATAAACAATTTTTAAGGTGACCAACCTTTTACGTGTCCAGTATGCCGTAACTTCTTAAGTAACTTCGTTTTCGTAGTCTCTTTGGAATCCACGCCTTTGAAAAGAACAAATTTAGAATCTGAAAAATCGCAAATCAACATTTTGTCATGTTTGACTCTTTATTAATCATACTCGGAAAACAATTAAAGTTATGTCGGCCGAACAGAACATCTAGTTAAGACTTCTAAACCTAAATGTTGTTTACAAGGAGAGAACGTTGTTTAAGATTGCTAATAATAATTGGTTAACAGCTGCATCTGCTCTTCGTTTGCGCTTTTTACGGCTTTACGCGATCGCCATTTCAACGTAACAAAATGTTAGCAAGTGACGATATAGTTACGAACAGGAGTAGATCCAAATTCTTAATATGGGATTTGCCAGTAACTTGAATCCATAGGACGACGATTGACGGTTGGGTCAGCAACGTAAATAGAATATTAAGAGGGAAAACGCCCACGGTTGGTGTTGATAAAAAATGCTGGATGCCCGTGGAATACACTAGCTGGTCCCACCTCCAGGGAATGACAAGCCACAAGATATGAAAAACACTCCGTGTATTGTTACAAGACGTAGTTTGCGAATACTTACATTGGAGACATAAAACCCCTACCAGGAACACGACTGAAACAAGCTTCCAGTCCGTTCGCATCTTTTTTTCTTTCTAGAAGAAAGAAAGAAGAAAAGAAATGTTTTTCGAGGCGCGAACAGCCAGAAATCACTTATTCGTGTCCATAATAAACAAAGCCTGACAGAAATGATATAATGAACACAGTACCAGGTTGTATAAAAGATTTATCAATGGAGTTCAACTACACGCTTGGTTTACTTCATTGTTCTTGTTTTTGTGCTTATTTACACCGCCATAACAATCCGTGTCGCCACCAGCTCTGTGGGTTATTAGGTTAAAATGCTCCACAGTTCTGCAAATACGAGAAAATTGGGGAAGAAACTGTGCAAACACGCGTGATCACGTCTAGACATGCGTGATCACGAGTACTACTTTTGAGAATTGAATAAGGTGGCAACCTCTCTCATTCTATTTTTAGTTGAATTTTTCAGTTTTTCTCGCACAATGTATAATGTTCATTAACAAGCGAATCTTTGAATCATTTCTCAGTGAAGTAATTTAATGCACTTTGTATCCTGGAGAACAATTCATACACTAAATTAGGTACTTTATTTCCTTTTTATGTCAAAATGCTTAAAAGTTGCCTGAGTATTTTTGAAAGTTTTGATATTATATGGCTGGCAACGCCCGTGGGCAAGACGAAGGAAATCCTTTGTTCTGATTGGCTACCCGAGCGGGTAAGATGGGCCCATCTTGCCCACACGTGACTGCCCGCTTTGATCCCGCGAAAGAGAAAGAGGGCGTGGGCGGACTCACATTCTTCGTAACTTTTGGACAATCCGTTGACGAAGTCGCAAATAGCGGCTGAAGACGGTCAAACCAAAGGAAAAATTGAACAAGCCTCTTAGTTACACTGTGCTTGAAACACAGTTGGCTTTCTCTCCCGGCTCTTGAAATAAACAAGTCATCCTTGATTATTACAAAAGCAAAATATTGTTGCTATACAATAAATCCTTTATTGACCAATTTGATTATATCAACAAAGTTGAAATGGTAATTTGGCCACCGTTACAATTATAAAAGCTGACGTTTCGAGCGTTAACCCTTCGTCGGAGCGAATAGAGGAATTGTGGGTTGTGTGTGCTTTTAAAGGCAGAAAATGGAGCTACGTTATTGGTGGGAACATGGCAACGAGAAAAACACGAATAAATTAGTGGAATGAAAAGCATTCGTTTATACCTGTGGGATTTAGACTGCCGGTTTGAAAGATGAGCTTCTGTTCAAGAGTTTTACGGCTTTCCGTGCTACCTAAGTGTAAGCCGGATTGCAGATTGCCATATGTTGCTTAGAATGATTAGGTAAATTAAAATCTCTAGCGACTCGTTTCGATGTGTCCTTGTCATTCCTCTCTACGTCGCGAAGGTGTTCTCGGAATCGGTCACCTAGTCTTCTGCCTGTTTCCCCGATGTTATGCAATAGATTACATTGGCGGAGGTGCACGTGAAGCTTGTTCGGTCAAGTTGGCCAGACATCAGTCTAGCTGTATCTTTGCGTTTTATGGACCTCTACTTCGTCTCGGTCTATGAAAATCCAAAGAAAAAAATAATCGGCCAATATCCAACCATCTTCAGCGAACAAGCTTGGTCAATAATACATATGTATTGAATTGTTTTTCTTTGTCTTCCCAACTTTGAACTGAAATGGAGAATCTGGGTTGAAATTAGAGGATCAATTCCTTTAAGCGTTTCTGCATTTCAGTGGCTTTGAATGCAACAGTATCAAAATATGATTTATGTTGGTGATTATAGAGTTCATTTACTGTGAAAAGCGAGATAAGACGTTCACGCCATTGAACTCGAGAGACAGAAGAGTGCTTGAAGGACTGGGATTAAGTCAACATTACCCACACTGCATCACCGGACAAGGTGCCTTTTTTCTTCCGTGAATTATACTAAATCCGTAATTCGCTTACCTAAAAACGTCCTTGAAAACCTTACGACGAACCAAATATCAAACGCTTTGAAAGGATCGAGAATGGTTATTCCTCATGAAGTGCTGGCGTATGGCTGGATACCATTTACAGTTGTCGTTGTTGTAAGTATATCGTTACTTCTTTGCAGTGTTTTGGTCCTATGACAGATCTGTACCTCTTCGGTTCGTAAGCTCGAACTGAACTGCGTATCTGTAAATTTAATGTTATGAACTTCTCCACTCAGCAGTGCAAGTTGTAGAAGATTTCTTGATATTACCATAGTATTCTAGGACAAAGCTTTAGT